ATGCTAATGCGATCGTAGGTTAAGGTTGTGATTTTAATGTCCAATCTGAATTTTCCAGAAGCTCGTAATTATAGAGATTTGGACGATTTTTCGAATGGTTCAAAAATTCTAAAAACTTGGAAAAAAATGCAATATTAATATTTGTTTAAAATATTGTAACCGTACTTGCATGTTACCGAGAGTGTATTTTAGATTTGCCAATCTTGGTCTTCCAGATGCTCTTATTTTAGGGGATACGGAAGATTTGAGGGTTTTTTCAAAAATTTTGAAAAACTTAAAAGGAAATTTAAAAAAATTGTATGTTTTTAATACAAAAATTTAAACCAGTGGTTGCATGCTAACCAAAATATGTTCAAAGGTTGCAATTCTAGTGCCAAAACTTAAATTTCAGAAGCTGGTAGTTTCGAAGATATGGACATTTTTAGGAATCTTTCGAAAATTGTAAAAACTTGGATTTTAAACTCGAAACAAAACTTCAAATTCAAAGTATTGTACCCTTGGTTGTATGCTAATGCAAGCGTAGGTTAAGGTTGTGATTTCAATTTCGAAACAGACTTTTCCAGAAGCTCGTAGTTATAGAAATCTGGACGATTTCTCGAATGGTTCAAAATTTCTAAAAACTTGGAAAAAAATGCAATATTAATAATTGTTTCAAAGTATTGTAACCGTAATTGCATGTTAGCGGGAGTGTATTTTAGATTTGCCAACTTGGTCTTCCAGATGCTCTTATTTTAGGGGATACGGAAGATTTGAGGGTTTTTTCAAAAATTTTGAAAAACTTAAAAGGAAATTTAAAAAAATTTATAACTTAATTCATGCAGAGACTGAACGCGCGTTTTTGCTCAAAATGCAGTAGACTTTCGCTTCACGTTTTCATTTTTTAAAACCGCAGCATTTGGAATTTTACTTGCTTATATGCGCGTATTTTTTAGCCTCATAAATGTTTACAGTTGTTGATTTGAACTCTTTTTAATCAAAAGAAAGACTACGTGTAAAATTTAAGCATTGATTGATATTGTTGCTCAATTGACAAACAAATTCCATCAATTGTTCTGTTAAATATTTACCTCGAAAATTATTCCCACTTTTATTAACCCAGATTCCCAATTTTGCCCGTAAACAAACATTTTATTTTTTCAGTTATTTGGAAACTTGCGTTTTTTAAATCCTCAAACGGTGAAAATTCAGGCAATCAGGTAAGGTGACGTCCCATTTGTACCAACGGTCATTTGTACCAAAATGAAAAATCGATCCCATTTGTACCAAAACTATTCCACTAATTGGTCGAATTGTGAGCCAATGAATTGTTAAATTAATTTTCTTCTGTTCAAACAGAAGAAAACTAAGCAGCAGAATAGTGACCGTCGCAGTCGCGCCAACATGTTGCGACCTTGCCAACAGAGGGTAGGACTCTATACGAAAATTAGAGCCGGTTATTGCCGCAAAGCGGCGACGCACGCATAGCGCGCCCACCGAAGACCTTAAACCAAGAGCTTGAAGTAGTCGGCTTAATAGTCTTAGGCCAATTGAATATTTTTTGGTACTAGCGCGATTGATTTTTTATTTTGGTACAATTGGGACTGATTTAACATTTTGGTACTTGTGAATACCCACCATCAGGTAAACATGACACTCAGTTAATTTTTGTTATTTGAGTTACAGCTATGAAGTTGAAGCTGAACTTTTCTGTATGCATCCACGTGTCAAGTCAGGCGAGCGGATTTTCAAAAAAATTGAACATTTTGAACGTTTTTAGCTTGATCAAATTGATTCTCAGACTTCTCCTAAAAAATAGACCTCTTGCAGAAATTTCTAAGGGAACAACCACTCAACCGAAAGTCCACTAAACCGAAAAATCATTGAATACAAAAAAATGCCTTTAGCCGAAAACTCGCGTAGTATGCTAATGCGATCGTAGGTTAAGGTTGTGATTTTAATGTCCAATCTGAATTTTCCAGAAGCTCGTAATTATAGAGATTTGAACGATTTTTCGAATGGTTCAAAAATTCTAAAAACTTGGAAAAAAATGCAATATTAATATTTGTTTAAAATATTGTAACCGTACTTGCATGTTACCGAGAGTGTATTTTAGATTTGCCAATCTTGGTCTTCCAGATGCTCTTATTTTAGGGGATACGGAAGATTTGAGGGTTTTTTCAAAAATTTTGAAAAACTTAAAAGAAAATTTAAAAAAATTTATTTTAAAATCAAACTTTTGTACGCGGACTTGCGTGCATTGCGGAAGTAGCTTGGGGTTGTGCTTGTAATCATGAAGTTTTATTTCCCAGAAAATCGTAACTTAGGAGATATGGAAAGTTATACAATTGGATCAAAAATTGTGAAAAGTTAAGTTTTTCAAAAATTCTGAAAGATTATTTTTGTTTCAAACGTTTTTAACCGTACTTGCATGCTAGCGGGAGTGTAAAGTGGGGTTGCATATCTTATGCAAAACTTGTTCTTGCAAAAGTTCCTAGTTTGGGAGATAAGACGATATTACGCATCTGTCAAAAAGATTTAAATTTGAAATTTTGAAATTTAAATTGAAATTTTTTTTTTCAAATTTAAAATTTTGTTTCAGTATTTGCATGTTTTTGGGGGAGCAGTGTAGGTTGTGATTCTAATGCCAAAACTTCACCTTCCCATAGCTTTTCGTTTGAGAGATTTTTTTAAGATTTTTTTGTTTTTTTTTGCCGCACTTTCATGTTAACGGGGATGTAATTTGTATGCCTGTATTTGGCTTTTCTGAAGTGCAATCCAAAATCTGAAAAAATTTCAACTAAGGTGTCAGGGTTATCGTACAAGTTTCAATTCTTGCCTCTAAATATCACTGCTCAAATCCTTTTAGCTTCCGAGCAAGCCTTTTTGCTGATTTTTTAAAACAGTTTTCACAAAAATTGTTTAGAAAAATCACAAAATATGAAGTTCCCAATCTTATAGTGGGGCCCTGTCTGGGTACTCTTAGGGAGGTCAAGTCTTGCCTCCAAACATGATTGTTCAAAACTTTAAAATTTCCACGATATGCCGTTTGTATATGATAATGTGGGTTCGAATTCCGATCCCGAGTCGGAGTCTTTGCCCCAGTTATATTTATATATATCAGCGAGATGTATATCGGGATATCAGCCCTGCATTTGTTAGTTAAATCATTCATTTGTGAAAAAGTTTTTTTTTTCATTTTTAATCATTCAGAGGGTGGGGGGTTATTACCAAAAAGAGCCTATTTATGTGCAGAAAACGGGGAAAATGAAAAAAAATTGAGAAAAAAATCAATTTGAGGCTTAATTTATATTGCATTTTTCAGTAACTGTGCACCAATTTGTGATAAATTTTTTCCTTGGCACTTTTCATCATTCAGGGGGGGGGGGTTGTAACCAAAAAAAAACATAATTTTCATTTAAAAGACGCCAAATCCGCTTCAACTGTTGTTTAATTTGCACTTTTTTCAATTTTCTAGCTTGATTTACTGTTCGGGATATCAGACGTGCATTTGTAAGAATTTGTCTGCTTTCTGACGATTATGATAAAAAAATCGTCAGTTTTTTTTTAAATTCACATGATTGTTCAAAACTTTAAAATTTCCACGATATGCCGTTTGTATAGGATAATGTGAGTTCGAATTCCGATCCCGAGTCGGAGTCTTTGCCCCAGTTATATTTATATATATCAGCGAGATATATATCGGGATATCAGCCCTGCATTTGTTTGTTAAATCATTCATTTGTGAAAAAAGTTTTCTTTTTCATTTTTAATCTTTTAGAGGGTGGGGTGTTATTACCAAAAAGAGCCTATTTATAAGCAGAAAACGGGGAAAATGAAAAAAAAAAATGAGAAAAATATCAGTTTGAGGCTTAACTAAGTTAAAATGCTTCGTTTTTATCGGTCACATAAATCTATATTGCATTTTTCAGTTACTGTGCACCAATTTAAGATAAATTTTTTCCTTGGCACTTTTCATCATTCAGGGGGGGGGTTGTAACCGAAAAAAAAAACATAATTTTCATTTAAAAGATTCCAAATCCGCTTCAACTTGTTTAATTTGCACTTTTTTTCAATTTTCTAGCTTGATTTACTGTTCGGGATATCAGACGTGCATTTGTAAGAATTTGTCTGCTTTCGGACGGTTATGAATACGCATTTGTCTAGATACTGCTAAGTAACCTTTTCACCCATTTCCACTTTAAGTGTTCGTTTACATTCACTTTCGTCTATTTGCTAAACTCCCTCGTGTCCATCAAATTTTATTCAATACGTGATATCACGAGCAGCACAAGTTGTAAATCTTTTCGACAGACAGTGTATGAAGCCGAGATTAAATTTAATTGTTGTTTACTGATAACTATTTTCTCATAGTTATCAGTAAATAGAACTCACTGAAATGATTGCACAATTGAAACCATTTTAGTTTACAGGAAATTGCGATTTGGTTCAATGGTGTCTGCCTGTTTTGTCTTCTGCTTAATGGTGGCAGTTGTCGAATTTGTTCACACAATGTAGGTAAAATGGACAACAGGCCGATCGGACTTCAAGCCGAAATAAAGACTACAAGCATACCTTCAGAACGCTAAATTTTCAGTAGTAAAATGTTTGTTTTCAAAAACTTAAGGCAAGGCAAGGTTAGTTCATAAAAAGCGTTCTTCATAATAATGCACCCATAAAGAGTGGTATCAGATAGTTACATCAACCAGATTAAACATATGTTACACAAATATTACACATGTAAAACAACTTCAGCAACGTTTTAGTTTTTAATATTCCTAAACATCAATTTGAGGCTCAGAAACTTTGAAAAAGCCTATAACTTGTTAAAAAACCTCATGAAATTGAGAAATTTCAAATAAGCCAACATTCATGACTTTTTGACAAAACATTCGGCTTGAAGCCCCACATTTTTCAATTCGGCTGCTTGAAGTCCTGTCGGCTTGCTGTTCGGTTCGCGGAGTAAACCAATTCTTTTACACGTACATTTGTTCAACGCACAGTATAACTTAATTCATGTAGAGAATGAACGCGCGTTTTTGCTCAACATGCAGTCAGTAGACTTTCGCTTCACGTTTTCATTTTTTAAAACCGCAGCATTTGGAATTTTACTTGCTTATATGCGCGTATTTTTTAACCTCATAAATTCTTACAGTTGTTGATTTGAATTCTTTTTAATCAAAAGAAAGACTACGTATAAAATTTAAGCATTGATTGATGTTGTTGCTCAATTGATAAACAAATTCCATCAATTGTTCTGTTAAATATTTATCTCGAAAATTATTCCCACTGTTATTAACCCAGATTCCGAATTTTGCCCGTAATCAAACATTTTATATCTTCAGTTATTTGGAAATTTGCGTTTTTTAAATCCTCAAACGGTTAAAGTTCAGACAATCAGGTAAACATGAGACTCATTTACATTGTAGGATTCTTGTCATTAGATTTACAGCTATGAAATTGAAGCTGAAGTTTCCTGAATGAATCCACGTGTCAAGTCAGGCGAGCGGATTTTCAAAAAAGTTGAACATTTTGAACGTTTTTAGCTTCATTAAATTGATTCTCAGACTTCTCCTAAAGAATAGACCTCTTGCAGAAATTTCTGGGGAACAACCTCTCAACCGAAAGTCCACTAAACCGAAAAATCATTCGATACAAAAAAATGCCTTTAGCCGAAAACTCAGCCGAACCCATAATAAGAAGTCCTTTCACTCACTCTATAATTGTTCACCCGAAAATTATCGATATCTCGGTTCAAGGATGCCGGTTGGCGTGCGTCGCCGCTTTGCGGTGAAAACTGGCTCTTCTTTTCGTATACGCACTATTAAATCGGTGGCATGTCACGTAATCGAATACCCTGATAGCAGAAAAAATATTCGTTCCCGGATAGTCGAAAAATAAATTCGTTCCCGGATAGCCGATTTTTTTGTTCCCGGATAGCCGAATGTTTTTTGTTCCCGATAGCCAAAAAATTTGATTCGATCCACATGGGGGCTTTCAACAGTGCCGAAGTACAACAGTGCTGAAAAGGGGCAGTACAACAGTGCCGAAGTACAACAGTGCCGAAAATGAAAAAGTGTTCAACAGTGCCGAAAATTGATGATTTTCGGCACTGTTGAACTAAAATTTTGTTTTAGGCACTCTTGTACTTCGGCACTGTTGAACGCCCCTCTAAGGGCAGCACAACAGTGCCGAAGTACAACAGTGCCGAAAATAATTTTATTGTTCAACAGTGCCGAAAATCATCAATTTTCGGCACTGTTGAACACTTTTTCATTTTCAGCACTGTTGTACTTCGACACTGTTGATCGCCCACTGCTGAAAATGAAAGTGTTCAACAGTGCCGAAAATTGATGATTTTTGGCACTGTTGAACAATAAGTTTATTTTCGGCACTCATGTACTTCGGCATTGTTGAACACCCCTCTAAGGGCATCACAACAATGCCGAAATACAACAGTGCCAAAAATAAATTAATTGTTCAACAGTGCCGAAAATCATCAAATTTTGGCACACTTGAACACCTTTTCATTTTCAGCACTGTTGTACTTCGTCCTGTCGTCCTGTCGACTATGAACCAATCAGAACCGAGATGAGAAAGAGAACTTTCAAAATATATAATAATGATTTATTTTTTTTCTTCATTGTCTTGAATCTGATTGGTTAATACAGTGTTTTTCTGGTTATTGACAAGTGGAAATACGCGGTTTTCTAAAGGCTGCTACGTATCGCTTTTTCAAATCTGAAGTCTGCATGAATTTCATTTTAGGGTCTTTTTTTAGGTCAATGTCAAATGTCTGCACAGATTATCTTGAAGATTTAAACATCGTTTACATTTTTAAATGAACAGTTTAATATAAACATTTGAACCAGTGGTTGCATGCTAACGAAAATATGTTTAAAGGTTGCGATTCTAGTGTCAAAACCTAAATTTCAGAAGCTGGTAGTTTAGGACGCTTTTACGAATCTTTCGATAATTGTAAAAACTTGAATTTTAAACTCGAAACAAAACTTCAAATTCGAAATGTTGTACCATTGGTTGCATGCTAATGCGAGCGTAGGTTAAGGTTGTGATTTCAATGTCCAAATTGCCTTTTCCAGAAGCTCGTAGTTTTAGAGATGTGGACAATTTTTCAAATGGTTCAAAAATAGGAAAAAAATGCAATATTATTTTTTGTTTCAAAATGTTTTAACCGTACTTGCAAGCTAGTGGGAGCGTATTTTAGGTTTGCCGATACTTGGTCTTCCAGATGCTCTTATTTTAGGAGATATGGACGATTTGAGGGATTTTTTAAAAAGTTTTAAAAACTTAAAAGAAAATTTTGAAAAATTTGTTTCAAAATCAAAATTTTGTACGTGGACTTGCATGCATTTGCTGAAGAAGCTTGGGGTTGTTCATGTAATGACGAAAGTTTACCTTCCAGAAAATTGTACTTAAGGAGATATGGGAAGTTTGACAATTGGATCAAAAGTTCTGAAAAATTAAGTTTTTCATTAATTTGAATAATTATTTTATTTCAAAATTTATAACCGTACTTGCATGCTAGCGGGAGGGTAATTTGGGTTCGAGTTTCTTATGCAAAACCTGGTCTTGCCAAAGCTCCTAGTTTGGGAGATAAGACGATTTTACGCATCTGTCAAAAAGATCTAGAAACTTACAAGAAAAAATTGAAAAAAATTATTTCAAATTTAAAAATTTGTTTCCTTACTTGCATGTTTTTGGGGGTGAATTGTAGGTTGTGATTCTAATACCAAAACATTACCTTCCAATAGTTTTTTGTTCTAGAGAATTTTTAGATTTTTCAAAAAAAAAAACGAAAAGCATTCAAAAATTCTAAGTTTTTTTTTTAGCCGCACTTGCATGCTAACGGTGATGTAATTTCTGGTTGCATTTTTATGCCTGAATGTGGCTTTTCTGAAGCTCAATCCGAAATGTGGGAATATTTGAACTAAGGTGTCAGGGTTATCTTACAAGTTACAAATCTTGCCTCTAAATATCACTGCTCTAATCCTTTAAGCTTCCGAGACAAGCCTTTTTTTTCTGATTTGTTTTCAACAGATTTCATAAAAATTGTTTAAAAAAATCACAAAATATGAAGTTCCCAACCTTATAGTGGGGCCCTGTCAGGGCACTCTTAGGGGTGTTAAGTCTTGCCTCGAAACATGATTGCTCAAAACTTTAAAATTTCCACGATATGCCGTTTGTATTTTTTTTTTCAAAAACTTGAAGTTCCCAACCCTGTAGTTCGTTGCTGTCGGAGTACTCTAAGGAGTTACAAATCTTGCCTCCAAATATGATTGTTCAAATCTTTGTAGTTTTCGAGATATGAAGCTTTTTGTGATTTTTTCAAAAAATTTTCAGAAAACGTATATTAATTTTTTTCGCAAAATCTGAAATTTCCAACCCTGTATTTGGGTACTGTCAGAGTAATCTCAAAGGTTGCGAAGCTTGCATCCAAATATGACTGCTCAAGTGTAGTTTTCGAGATATGACGTTTTTTGTGATTTTTTTCAAAATTTTTCTGAAAACTTAAATTATTATTAGTTTTTAAAAATCTGATATTCCCAACCCTGTAGTTAGGTCCTGTCGGAGTATTCTAAGGAGTTACAAATCTTGCCTCCAAATATGACTGTTCAAATCCTTGTAGTTTTCGAGATATGACGTTTTTTGCAATTTTCAAAATTTTTCAGAAAACTTGAATTATTTTTTTTCTTCTAAAATCTGAAATTCCCAACCCTGTAGTTAGGTCCTGTCAGAGTACTCTCAAGGATTGCAAATCTTGCCTCCAAATATGACTGCTCAATTCTTTGTAGTTTTCGAGATATGACGTTTTTTGTGATTTTTTCAAAATTTTCAGAAAACTTAATTTATTATTAGTTTTTAAAAATCTGAAATTCCCAACCTGTAGTTAGGTCCTGTCGGAAAACTCTAAAATATTGCGAACCTTGCCTCCAAGTATGACTGCTCATTTTTTTGTATCTTTTGAGATATGACGTTTTTTGCGATTTTTTCAAAATTTTTCAGAAAACTTGAATTATTTCTATTCTTTAAAAATCTGAAATTCCCAACCCTGTAGTTAGGTCCTGTCAAAGTACGCTCAAGAACTGCGAATCTTGCCTCCAATTATCACTGCTCAAGTCTTTGTAGTTTTCGAGATATGACGTTTTTTGCGATTTTTTCAAAATTTTTCAGAAAACTTGAATTATTTCTATTCTTTAAAAATCTGAACTTCCCAACCCTGTAGTTAGGTCTTGTCAAAGTACTATCAAGGATTGCGAATCTTGCCTCCAAATTTCACTGCTCAATTCTTTGTAGTTTTCGAGATGTGACGTTTTTTGTGATTTTTTCAAAATTTTCAGAAAGTTTAAATTAATTAATTTTCAAAATTTGAAATTCCCAACTCTATAGTTCGGCGTTGTCAGGGTACTCTAAAGAGTTGCAAATCTTGCCACATGCGACTGCTAAACGCGACTGCTCAAATGCTTTTAGTTTCCGAGATGTGACGTTTTTCGATTTTTTTAAAATTTCTCAAAGAACTTATCTACAAAGAAATTCAAAAAATTTGAAACTACTAACTTGATGAAGATACAACCTTATTGTCAGCGCGTACACCCAGGCGTATCAAATCTTGCCTCTTAATATGAATGCTCAAATTCTTTTAGTTTCGGAGAAAAGACGTTTTTTTTTTCAATTTTTTTTTCGGGAATCTTAGGTTTAAAAAATTCACAAAATTTTGGATTCCTAGCCCTATAGTAGGGTGCTCTCAGGGAGTCTCAGTGGTTGCAAATCTGGCTTCCAAATTTCTCCAGAGGCCCATTAAGTTTTCAAGATGACGCTTTTAAAATGGGAATTTAAAAAAAATTTAAAAGTTCGAAATTACCAAACCTGGGTGCAGTCAGAGTACACTAAAAGTTTGCAGATGTTGTTTCCAATATATGCGGTTTTTTTCATGAGTTGTCGAAAAATTTCGAAGCACCGAAGGTGCGTTAATTGCTAGTTTAGGTTGAAAACACCTCATAAAATTTGAACCCTATAGTGGGGCGATGTCAAGAATTTAACAAGAAATAAGGGATAAAACTGCTTGTTCATGATTAAAATCATCTTCTCCATAAAAAAGTTGATTAAAGTCAACTTTAATTTGGAGAAAAAAGTTGAGGTTAATCATGAACAAGCAGTTTTATCCCTTATTTCTTGTTAAAGTGTTATCCTGCTCAAAAATCTTCAGCTGTCAAGTATGTTTCAAGTCTTGCCGGATTGGCTCCCAAATGTGGTTGCTCAATTCTTTTTAGTTTCCGAGATATCACGTTTTTATTGTTTTCCAGACCCCAAAAACATGCAAGTACGTTTTTAACAATTTGGGGGTTAATGCAAAGTTCCATAGATTGAAAAGCTTGCCTAGAA